GCAAATCAAAACAACTATGAGATATCATCTCACCCCAGTAAGACTAGCAAAATTTAACAGAACAGCAAGCAACAAATGCTGGCGAGGTTGTGGAGAAACTGGAACTCTTATTCACCATTGGTGGGAAAGTAAAATGGTGCAACCATTGGGGAAGGCAGTGTGGCACTTTCTCAAGAAATTGCAAATAGAGATACCGTTTGACCCAGCAATCCCATTCATTACTGGGAATATACCCCAGAGAGACCATAACTGCCATCCAAGCAGATATATGCACACCCATGTTTATCGCAGCTCTGTTCACAATAGCAAAGAGCTGGAAGCAACCTAAGGGCCCATCAACAAACGGACGGGTAGAGAAGCTGTGGTATATTCACACAATGGAATACTACGCCGCATTGAAAAACAAGGAACTCATGCAATATTATTCAAAATGGGTGACTCTGGAGAACATTATGCTGAGTGAAATATCTCGGTCACAAAGGGACAAATTCTGCACGGTGCCACTGTTGCAGAATGGGACTGACATCAGGGTTGGGGTAAGACTGAGAAAAAACTGGATAAATTCTGTATACTGTATTGAAACAGATGAGGGAAAGAACAGATTAGAGGCAATATATGGTTGAATATTATGGTTAGCACAGGAATCCAGAATTAAAGTTGCATAGAGAAGTGTACTTGGGGTGGGGAGTGGGGGGGAAGGGATGGGGGAATTGTATACCAATGAAGGAATTTTTTTTTCTTTTTCTTTTTTCTTTTCAGAGAGGGGAGTGAACTGGTGAGGAGGGGTGGGCAGGGAGAAAAGTGCGGCAATGAATGAACGAAAATCCAAAATCTCTGTAAATGCTTATTAAAATTAATTAAAAAACCAAAATAAAACAAAACAAAAATATTGCTTCTTGATCTAGGTACAAGTTTTACATGAGCACAATTAAGTGTTCTAGAACTCTCACTCTTTTCCAATGCTAGCCATAGTTTATTGCAATCTGCACAGTCAAATGCCTTTGCACAGTCAATAAGACATGAGCAAACCTCTTTACAGTATTCTCTAATCTCAGCTAAGATTCATGTGGCATTAGCAATACTACCCCGCGTTCCATAGCCTCTTCTGAATATATCTGGAATTCCTGGCAGTTTCCTGGCAGTGTACTACTCCAGCTGTTTCTTCATAATCTCCTGTGAGATTTTACTTGTACATGATACTAATGATTAATGTTTGATAATTTTTTTAAATGTTATATGTAATGTTTGTGTTAAAGAGAATTTTGGTTCTCTTTGTTTCGGTTTGTAGAGTTTGGTATGAGTTTTCAGAATCATGATTTCTGTTAAATCTAGGTGTTTGTGCATATCTTGGAGTTTTGCTACAAGGAATCTCAGTCTGCGGCCTCAACTGAATGATGTGTTTCAATGTTGCCAAGTATTGCAGTCTATTCATGTGAGTACCCTAGGTTGAAACACCAAATACAAGTAATTTGCAGTAGGAGATCAGCAGTTGTTGCTAAGCTATTTCGTGACATTTTTAGGGGGATTCAATGATAATTGATGAGTCACTGTTTTTGTGAAATGTGCAGGCTTAATGCAGGAAGAAGCAGATGCTGTAACTGGCAGGACTAAAAGAATTCTCTAACACTGTTCCAAAACCACAAGGCTGAAGGCCAGAGGGGGAACAAGTATGCCTGACAAGGTACCCTGTTTCCAGTTTGAATTGTAACAGATTACAATTCCTCTAAATAAGCCTAAATATTGTCAATATTGTCTGTAAATTCTGTGTGGCCACTGCAACAAATTAGTGGCCCGGAAGAAGAAGAGTCAGAGCCTGAGAGGAAATGGCCGGCAAGAGTAGGTGCTGGGGCATCTTACCTAACACCACATTTGTTCTGTCCTACTTGGGAAGCCAATGGATGCCAGGCACTACTGTCCCACACCAGACATGCACTCTTCTTCACACAGTGCTGCTCTGCTTTTATCATGATGTTTTAAAATGATCGTTATATTGAGCATCGTAAAATTTAGAAAATCGTAAGGAAAAACAAAAGTTTCAAGCTGATTTATTTTTTACATCCAAGACCCCAGGCCAGAGTGGCACTAATACCCAGAATGCCAATGTGACATAAGGAATTCGGCTTCAGGATAGGCACTAATTCCAGTTTTACCTGCAATGGCCAGGGCTGTTCCTCTTTCTGATGGTTTTATTTCCGGGGTCACTTCTCCCAAGTCAGGATGTCTGAAATAATTTCAGAAGAAAACTGCAATTAAAATAATGAAATGCCACTTTCACCTGTATAATTGGCTGCATATGGCCCCTTGTAATATTTTTTAAAAATTACAGGCTTCAGGTTCCATCCTAGATCCACAAAAACCTGAGTTTCTGGGAAGCAGGTCTGGTCATCTCCATTTTAACAGGACTATAATAATGTCAGTCTAGAAACTAAAATGCACATATCCAGCCTTGCAATTACTTGCTAAGCTTCCCAGAGAACTGGAAAATGACTAAGAATGATAGAGGAAGAATTGATGCCTTTGAGTAGTGGTGCTTGAGAAGAGTACTGAATATACTATGTACTGCTAAGAGAACAAACAGGTCTGTCCAGGAGAAGGTAAAACCAGGCTGCTCCTTGGAAGCAAAGATTTAGAAGCTTCATCTGACATACTCTGGGCATGTTGCAAGGAGATACCAGTCCTTGGAGAGGGATATCATGCTTGGGAGGATGGAAGGACAGCGCAATAGAGGAAGACCCTGGATTAAATGGACTGACTCAGTGACTGGGGCAATGGCTGTAGGTATGTCAGAGTCGAAGAAAATAGCTCAGGATAAAGCAGGGTTCAGAGCTGTTGTACACTGGGTCACTATGAGTCAGAGTAGACTCGATGGCACATAACAACAACACAGTGAATCTGGTATCCAGTGACAGCTGAGGAACACTGATATAGAAAAACCAGCACTGTTGTCAACAGGCCAGAGGATAAGCAAGTAATTCAGAAAGGCATAAAAATGTGCATACCCTTTGAGCAGCAATTCTATAACTATCCTGTTGTTGTGGTGGTTGTTGTTGTTTTGTGTTGTTGAGTTGCTTGCGACTTACAGGGACCCTACATACAAAAGCCCTGAACCCTGCTCTATCTTGTGCCAAACTCACTATCTCCGACACACTCATTCCCACCGCTCCAATCACAGAACTGATCCATCTCATCGAAGGTCTTACTCTCCTGCACTGTCCCTCCACTCTCTCAAACATGATATCCCTCTCCAAGAACCAGTCCCTCCTTGCAGCATGGCCAAAGTATGTCAGACAAAGAAGCTTCAGAATCCTTGACTCCAAGGAGCAGCCCAGCTTCATCCTCTCCAGGACAAACCTGTTTGTTCTCCTAGCAGTCCATGGTATAGTCAACACTCTTCTCCAGCACCACAGCTCAAAGGCATCAATTCTCTTTCTGTCATCCCTAGTCACTATCCAAATCTCCGATGAATAGCACGTTATTGTGAAGACTACAGCCCATATCAGGCACACCTTAGTCTCCAGCCTGACATCTTCAGTACTCAAGAGGTTCCTGACAGCAGACTTTCCCAGTGCAATTCATCTCTTGATTTCCTGTCTGCTGATACCAAGAGTGTCGACTGTGGAGCCAAGCAAAACTAAAACTTTTAACTATCTCAATCTCTTCACCATCCATACTGATGCTGCCAGTTGGCCCAGAGGTGACAATCTTTGTTTTCTTGATGTTGAGCTTCAATCCGTATTGAAGGCTGCAGTCCTTGACCTTCTGCAGTAAGTGCTTCAGGTCCTCCTCATTTTCAGCGACCAGTGTTGTGTCATCTGCATAACACAGACTGTTGATGACTCTTCCACCAATCCGGATGCCACATTCCTCCTTGTACGGCCCAGCATCTCGGATGATCTGTTCTGCATACAGATCGAAAAGGTATGGAGACAGAATACATCCCTGGTGGACCCCCTTCTTGATTTGAACCATGCAGTAGTGTCTCCTTGCTCTGTTCTGATGACTGCCTCTTGGTCCAAGTATAGGTTTCGCATAAGCACAATCAAATGTTCTGGGATTCCCATTCTACTCAGAGTCAGCCATAGCTTGTTATGATCCACACAGCCAAAAACCTTTGCATATCAATGAAGCAAAGACAGACATTCTTCTGGTATTCTCTGCTTTCTGCCAAGATCCATCTAACAGCTATAATATCCCTAGTACCACAACCCCTTCTAAATCCAGCCTGCACATCTGGCAGCTGTTGACATACTGCTCCAATAGTTTTTGGATAATTTTCAGCAGAATCTTGCTTTCAAGTGATATTAATAATATTGTTCGATAATTTCCACACTCTCTTTCTTTAGAATGGGAACAGATATTGATTTTTTTCAGTCAGTTGGCCAGATGGCTGTCCTGCAGATTTCTTGGCACAACTTATTGAGTACATCCAGGGCAGCATCTGTTTGTTGAAATATTACAATTGGTATGCCATCAACTCCTGGAGCCTTGTTTTTTTGCCAATTCTTTCAGAGCAACTTGAACTTCCTCCTTCATCACCACAGGATCTTGCTCATATGTTATCTCATGAAATTCTTCTGTGTCAGCCAATTCCTTCTGATACAGTGACTCTGTACTCCTTCCATCTTCTTTTAATGCTTCTTGGATCATTTAACAGTCTACCCAAAGTATCCTTAAGTATTGCCACTTGTGGCTTGAATTTGTTTTTCAACTCCTTCAGCTTAATAAATGCTGAGTGAGTTTGGCCCTTCTGACTCCAGCTCTCTGAACATTTCATTATAGTATCTTGCTTTGTCGTCCCAAGTTGCCTTTTAAAATTTTCTGCTCAGCTCTTTGGTTTCTTCCTTCAGCTTTGGCTTTGCAGCACTCTAATGCAATATTCAGAGTCTCATCTGACATCCATCATGGTCTTTTCTTCTTCTTCAGCCTTATAATGATCTTTTGCATTCTTCAAGGATGATTTTCTTGAAATCCTTCCAGAGCTCATTTGGTCTAGGCTCATTCATTGGTGCTCAAGGCCTCAAACCTGTTCCTGTGATGGTTTTGAAATTTGAGTGGGACAGACTTAAGGTCCAATTTTGGTTCCCATGGATTTGATTTCATTTTCCTCAACTTCAGCTTGAACTTGCATATGAGTAGTTGGTGGTCTGTTCCACAATCAGCACCTGGCTTGGTTTTCACTAAGGAAATAATTAAGCTACAGAGATGTTGATGAGAGGTTTCATACAGAGTAAAGAAAATTTCTATGCCTTTTAAAATACTAATCTAGCTTTGTGCAGTTATACTAGAAAAAAAAATACTAGTCTAATATAATAGGGAATTATGATATAATCTTACTCTTTAAACACACACACACACACACACACACACCACCACAAACCCCTCTGCTATTGAGTTGGCTTTGACTCCACTGTAGTGCTGAAGCTGTAAATCTTTAAGGAAGGAGATTGTTCCTCTTTCTCCCACAGAGTGGTTGCCGGATTTGGAATACAAACTGTTGGCAAGCAGCCTGATACATTATGCCGTGGGACTCTATAACCATGACAACATATTCTGAAACTCTTTTGTGGACACTAAATGCTATTACTAATTCTTTAATTGGGGAGAGGAATCAAGCTGCAGAAAAGGACACACAGTATGAAAGGGCAGTGGTGTTTCAGGGGTCCGATGCACACCTTCCACACAGAGCCCTGGTTTCATTATTAGCAAGTGTACCTTCTGCACAGTCACTACCCATCTACTACTGGAAGTCTGTGTGTTGCTATGATGTGGAACAGATTTCAGTAGAGCGTCCACACTAAGACAGACTTGGGAAAAAGGCTTGAAAATATATCTCGAAAAATCAATTAGTTAATTCCCTACAGAGATGGTACAGGACTACATAGCATTTTATTCTACTGTATATGAGGCCATCCTGAGTTAGGGACCAATGTGATGGCTGCTACAAACAATTCTGCTTCTATTACTCACTCTATATTAGGAGTCTTGATGGCACATAGGGTTTGAACCAATCAGCTGTTCCATGGGACAAAGATGGGTGTTCGGCCTCCTTAAAGATTTCTAGCCTCAGAAGCGGTTTGGGGCATTTCTCTCCTTTTGAGCATGACTCTCTCCTGTGAGTCACTATGAGCAGAAATCAATTTGATGGTCATAAGATCTATAGGTTGTGGTTGTTGTTGTTGTTAGGTGCTATGGAGCTGAGTACAACTTATAATGACCCTATGAACACTGCTCTATCCTGAACCAACCTCACCATCTCTGATATGCTGAAGACCGCAGTTATAGTCACTGTGTCGGTACATTTTGTTGAGGGTCTTCTCTCTTGCTGACCCTCCAGCTTTTCAAGCATGATATCCATTTCCAAGGACTGGCCCTTCTTGACAACATACCCAAAGTATGTGACAACTAAAGATTTTTGTTCTTTTGCCAACCCCTAGGATATTTAGCACTTTTACAAAAGTCTAGAAAAATTTCCATCAGACAGTAATAGAGAAGGCAGATCAAGAAGCACACAAGAGAAAAGGATGTCTGTGATAAAGACTATGACATACATAATGTGTACTTCTGAGTATAATGATGAGGTAAAGAGATGTCAGTTCAGACCTTCTTTGAACAAAGATACTAGAAAACAAATATAGATTGCCACTGCGTTGAACATGACTCATAGCAACCCTGTGAACAATAGGCCTGAAGCCTTTCTATAATTACCATCATTTATCAAAGTTTAGAGTTTCCAGAGGCAAGCTGTATAAGAAGTGGATGCCACTCCTGCTTCCAAACCTGTCTTAAGCTGGGAGCTCCACTAAACACTGTCCACCATGGGTAACTATTATGACATTTGACAATCCAATGGCACAAGGTTCAGCATCACCGCAATCCCAGGTTACCTCAGTACAGCATATTGGCAGAAGAGGGTTGTACCACTTAGAAGAATATTCCTCCAAAATATATAAACAACCTACTTTTAAGTACAAAGGCCCTCCCTGAGGTCTTGTTGACTCTAAACATGAGGCTTAACTAAAAACAATATACACCACAACAAGATAAAGGTAAATAACCCAACTGAAAAATTGACACAAGATATGAACAGACACTTCACCAAAGAAGACATTCACATGCAAACTATGATGAGGTATACGTAGGTACAGCTTGCTCAGATCCACAATCAAAACTTTTAACACCAGCTCTCAGGAAATCAAAAGACAAACTGCATGGGGGGAGGGG